AAACTCAAAACCTAGCAGAAGACAAAAAATAACTAAGATCAGAGCAGAACTGAATGAGATAGAAACACAAAAAACCTTCAAAAAAAAATCAATAAATTCAGGAGCTTGTTTTTTGAAAAGATCAACAAAATAGACAGACCACTAGCCAGATTAATAAAAAAGAAAAGAGAGAATAATCAAATAGATGCAATGAAAAACGATAAAGGGGATATCACCACAGATTCCACAGAAATTCAAACCATCATCAGAGATTATTACAAACAACTCTATGCACATAAACTAGTAAACCTGGAAGAAATGGATAAATTCCTGGATACTTGCATCCTCCCAAGCCTAAACCAGGAAGAAGTCGAAACCCTGAATAGACTAATAACAAGGTGTGAAGTTGAGGCAGCAATTAAGAGCCTACCACACAAAAAAAGCCCAGGTCCAGATGGGTTCACAGCCGAATTCCACCAGACATACAAAGAGGAGCTGGTACCATTCCTTCTGAAACTATTCCAAATAATTCAAAAAGAGGGAATCCTTCCCAAATCATTTTATGAGACCAACATCATCCTGATACCAAAACCCAGCAGAGACTCAGCAAGAAAAGAAAACTTCAGGCTAATATCCATGAGGAACATAGATGCAAAAAACTTCAATAAAATACTGGCAAACTGATCGCAACAGCCCATCAAAAAGCTTATCAACGATGATCAAGTAGGATTCATCCTTGGGATGTAAGGCTGGTTCAACATACACAAGTCTATAAATGTAATTCACCACATAAGAAAGAACCAAAGACAAAAACCACATGATTATCTGAATTGATGCAGAGAAGGCCTTTGACAAAATTCAACAGCCCTTTATGCTAAAAACCCTCAATAAACTAGGTATTGACGAAACATATCTCAAAATAATAAAAGCTATTTACGACAAACTAACAGCCAATATCATATTGAATGGGCAAAAACTGGAAGCATTCCCTTTGAAATCTGGCACTAGACAAGGATGCCCTCTCTCACCACTCCTATTCAATATAGTACTGGAAGATCTAGTCAGAGCAATCAGGCAAGAAAAAGAAAGTGTATTCACTTAGGAAAGGAGGAAGTCAAATTGCCTCTATTTGCAGACGACATGATTGTATATCTAAAAGACCCCATCGTCTCAGCCCAAAATCTCCTGAAACTGATAAGCAACTTCAGCAAAGTCTCAGGTTACAAAATCAATGTGCAAAAATCACAAGCATTCCTATACACCAATAACAGACTTAAAGAGAGCCAAATCAAGAATGAACTGCCATTCACAATTGCTACAAAGAGAATAAAATACCTAGGAATGCAACTAACAAGGAACGTAAAGGACCTCTTCAAGGAGAACTACAATCCACTGCTCAACGAAATAAGAGAGGACACAGATGGAGAAACATTCCATGTTCATGGTTAGGAAGAATCAACATCGTGAAAATGGCCATACTGCCCAAAGTAATTTATAGATTCAACACTATCCCCATCAAGCTACCAATGACCTTCTTCACAGAACTGGAAAAAACCACCTTAAACTTCATATGGAACCAAAAGAGAACCCACATAGCCAAGTCAATTCTAAGCAAAAAGAACAAAGAGGGAGGCATCACACTACCAGACTTCAAACTATACTACAAGGCTACAGTAATCAAAACAGCATAGTACTGGTACCAAAACAGAGAAACAGACCAATGGAACAGAACGGAGGCCTCGGAGGCAATACAACATATCTACAACCATCTGATCTTTGACAAACCTGACAAAAACAAGCAATGGGGAAAGGATTCCCTGTTTAATAAATGGTGTTGGGAAAACTGGCTAGCCATGTGCAGAAAGCAGAAACTGGACCCCTTCCTGACACCTTACACTAAAATTAACTCCAGTTGGATTAAAGACTTAAACGTAAGACCTAACACCATAAAAACCCTAGAAGAAAATCTAGGCAAAACCATTCAGGACACAGGTGTAGGCAAGGACTTCATGACCAAAACACCAAAAGCATTGGCAACAAAAGCCAAAATAGACAAATGGAACCTAATCAAATTCCACAGCTTCTGCACGGCAAAAGAAACAGTCATTAGAGTGAATCGGCAACCAACAGAATGGGAAAAAATTTTTGCAGTCTACCCATCTGACAAAGGCTGATATCCAGAATTTACAAAGAAGTAAAACAGATTTACCAGGAAAAAACAAACAAGCCCATTCAAAAGTGGGCGAAGGATATGAACAGACACTTTACAAAAGACATACATGAGGCCAACAAACATATGAAAAAATGCTCATCATCACTGGTTATTAGAGAAATGCAAATCAAAACTACATTGAGATACCATCTCACACCAGTTAGAATGGCGATCATTAAAAAATTTGGAGACAACAGATGCTGGAGAGGATGTGAAGAAATGGGAACACTTTTACACTGTTGGAAGGAGTGTAAATTAGTTCAACCATTGTGGAAGACAGTGTGGCGATTCCTCAAGGACCTAGAAATAGAAATTCCATTTGACCCAGCAATCCCATTACTAGGCATATATCCAAAGGATTATACATCATTCTATTATAAGGACACATGCACATGAATGTTCATTGCAGCACTGTTTACAATAGCAAAGACTTAGAACAAACCCAAATGCACATCAATGATAGACTGGACAGGGAAAATGTGGCACATATACACCATGGAATACTATGCAGCCATAAAAAATGATGAGTTTGTGTCCTTTGTAGGGACATGGATGAATCTGGAGAACATCATTCTTAGCAAACTGACACAAGAACAGAAAATCAAACACCGCATGTTCTCACTCATAGGTGGGTGTTGAACAACGAGAACACACGGACACAGGGAGGGGAGCATCACACACTGGGATCTGTTGTGGGGAAATAGGGGCGGGACAGCAGGGGGTGGGGAGCTGGGGAGAGATAGCATGGAGAGAAATGCCAGATATAGGTGAAGGGGAGAAAGGCAGCAAATCACGCTGCCATGTGTGTACCTATGCAACAATCTTGCATGTTCTTCACATGTACCCCAAAACCTAAAATGCAATTAAAAAAAAAAAAGACATTTAGGAAGACATCTGATTTCAAGAGAATCTCATCCCTTTACTGTCCTGAACAGATAACTTTTATTGGCTGGCATATTTACCAGGTACATGACATTGTATGGACAGCTTCTTAACCATGCTATTGCTTTGTGGTTTGAGTGAGTGCTTGTGTTGGACTTGAATAGGAATTTTTTGAGATAAGAAAATTGTTCATATAAAGCTGTGACAATAATTAAAGCCTTGATAAACTTAAAAAAAAAAAAAGAGAGACCATCCTGGACAACATGGTGAAACCCTGTCTCTACTAAAAATACAAAAATTAGCTGGGTGTGGTGGCACGTGCCTGTAGTCCCAGCTACTTGGGAGGCTGAGGCAGAAGAATCGCTTGAACCCAGGAGGCAGAGGTTACAGTGAGCCAAGATTGCACCACTGCACTCCAGCCTGGCGACAGAGCAAGACTCAAAAAAAAAAAAGTTCATTTGAATTTCAGTTAGACTCACACCAGATTTAGGAAGAAAAAGGCTCAAAACTTAAATTGGTATTAAGTTGTGATATCTAAAACATTTCAGAAATGAAGCATTTGTCTTATAGATATCCAGGAAAAAATAAACAAACATATATACCCAAGAGGAGATAGATTTATACAGATATTCAAAGCCAGACAATAATAACATTTTATATCTTACACATTAGAATTGAAAGTCTAGTCTGTTTTTAGAACGAAGACGGTGAAAGTACCCCAAAGAAGAGTATTATACTAGGGATGGGACTCTGAACTCTCATTATCTGAGAGATGAACTAAATGAAGATAGTTACAAAGAAAGCATTTAAGGAAATACATTTTGAAGCACTGCTATAGCAACAGAGTTTCCAGCTAGCTCTTTATGCATGAGCTACTGTTTCTTCCTGAACACAAATACTGCAAGGCACAACTGGTGACCAAAGCCACTGTTCTGTATAAGTAACAGACTTGGGTTCCTAGAATGACTCAAAGGAAGGCCTTAAGGTCCCCAGGTAGACTGTGGAAAAGGGTGCTGGGGAAGAAACTTTAAGATTCAGATAGGAATCACTGAGATAGAAATGAAGTGTACTTTGGGAGGAGTCACCACCCCTGCCTGCTTCCAAGCAGCATCCTGGTGGGGACCCCATGCCTAGCCTCTCCTATGTGTCTATGTGATTGCCCCTAGCTGATGTGTTGTCTTTACAATTAAAAAACCTGGCTGATGTTTCTTTCCAATTAAAAACTCAAATTTCCATCTCACTGTCCTTCATTTATGCCATGATTCTGCAGCTCAGTGCTCAATTCTTATAGGAAGTCACCTCTGATCAACTACACCTGCCTGGTAACTCCAATGGCATCCTCTCAGAGGTCCACCTGGATTCTTTTGATAAGCACAACATTGTTATAAAGCACTTGACTCTGCTACATAATTAGGCTTTCTGTGTTGTTCTTTTCTTTTGAACTAACAGGAGTTCTGCATAACTAGGCTTTCTGTGGATCAAAGTGTACTTCCTGATGTATAGGATGTCTCTTCCTAGAAATCAGAAGCACATTAAATAAGTCATTGTCATGTGATACCAGTGTTATAAGGAATATGCTTGAATATTTTTTCATAGCTTTCTGAAATTATGGGGTTGCCTGTCACCAATTTCTCGCATTCCACTTAGCTTCCAATAGAGCAAGAGCTATGCTGTATACCATTGATCTTCCATGGTCTCTCCATAGCATCTACTTGTTGTAGGTACTCAGATGACAACATGAATGACTGCCTTGGGTCCGTCTGACTGGTAAATTAGTTGTGAGCAGGGACAAGAACCAAGGCTCCATAATTACTCATGTGTTGAGCAAGGATCATAAAATGTTGGAGCTAGGTCCTTACTTTTCAGGAGATAAAGGGGAGGAAAAAAATTTTTGCTTAAGATATGAGTGTTTGCCAATATTACACACCTTTTTCTGATGTGCTTTGTTCTGGATTTTGAAGGTCCTCAGGGGCAGAAGAGACAGTTATGACGGAAGGGGAGCTGTGAGAAGGCTGGCTCCCATGCTGTTCTAACACAGCTTCTAGTTCAGCCATTTCCTGCTGGAGCTTTATCAGATTGTCTTGCATGGTATCCCTCTGCTGCAAAAACGATAAATGGCACCAAGAAAATGAAATACTTTTGAGAAGCTTTCCACTAAACAAAAATATGTCATACAAATTAATTTTAGTACAGGAATTGAAATCATCTAGTATGGAACTATAAATTCTGGTTGAACACCTTTTAATCCAACCATATTCATGCAATTAATGCCCATGAAATTATTTCCAAACGATGTTAGCGAGGAAAGAATCCTTAAACTACCCCAAACAGATTTGACTATCGTGATGTCCTTTTGAAGTTTTTTTTTTTTTGAGACAGAGTTTCACTCTTGTTACCCGGGCTGGAGTGCAATGGCATGATCTCAGCTCACCAAAATCTCACCTCCCGGGTTCAAGAGATTCTCCTGCCTCTCCCGGAGTAGCTGGAATTACAGGCATGCACCACCATGCCCGTCTAATTTTGTATTTTTAGTAGAGTTGGGGTTTATCCACGTTGGTCAGGCTGGTCTCAAACTCCCAACCTCAGGTGATCTGCCCGACTCAGCCTCCCAAAGTGCTGGGATTACAGACGTGAGCCACCATGCCCAGCTAAAGTTGGTTATTTTCTTTTAAAGCTAGGGAGTGAAAAAATAATTAAGGTATTTAAACACATTGATATTTAAAATTATGATGAATCTGTTAACATTTTATTTATACAGGCACATTTCAAAGATTTGGTGTTGTGAGAGTCATCAGATATTTAGGTTAGTTCATATAAAAATGTGTGATTTTTAGACTGATGTAATGGGGAAAAAAGCCCCCTATCTGTGGCATTTTATAAAAATACAATCAGTAATCCTGGCTAGATTACTGGCTTGGGAGGACTCGACCTTTTCTGGGATTCTTTGAAACTTTAGTTTGTTTTCTTTCTTTCTTTTTTTTTTTTTTTGGAGTCTCCTTGTATCACCCAGGCTGGCGCCACCTTGGCTCACTGCAACCTCTACCTCCCAGGTTCAAGTGATTCTCCCACCTCAATCTCCCAAGTAGCTGGGATCACAGGGGCTAGCCATGATGCCCAGCTCATTTTTGTATTTTTAGTAGAGGCGGGGTTTTACCATGTTGGCCAGGCTGGTGTTGAACTCCTGACCTCAAGTGATCCTCATACCTCAGCCTCCCAAATCGTTAGAATTACAGGCGTGAGCCACTGCGCCTAACCCAAACCTTTAGTTTCTAACAGAAAAAGCAAAAAGCAAATTCATGAATCTATCTGCTCAGTTAATTAGATAATATTTACCATCTATTAAGCACTAGGCACTGTCCTAGTACCGGGGATAAGCCCTAATGGTGCTGCCGTTCTAGACAGGGACATCTTGTCTAGAATGTGTCTACCTAAAGATCATTAGCAACGACCTGTGAGAAGGGAGGATCCAACAGAAAGAGCTCTAAGAAAGCCTATAAGGATAGTTACTGTTTTGTTTTTGAGATGGAGTTTTGCTCTTATTGCCCAGTCTGGAGTGCAATGGCATGATCTTGGCTCACTGCAACCTCCGCCTCCTGGATTCAAGCAATTCTCCTGCCTCAGCCTCCGGAGTAGCTGGGATTACAAGGCACGTGCCACCACACCCATCTAATTTTGTATTTTTAGTAGAGATGGGGTTTCTCCATGTTGGTCAGACTGTTCTCAAACTCCCAACCTCAGGTGATCTACCCATCTCAGCCTTACAAAATGCTGGGATTACAGGCATGAGCCATCACGCCCAGCTAATAGTTAACTGTTTTTTAAAATAATGGGTTCTTCTTACTTGTGAGCTCTGGTTGTTTATTGCTCCATTTCAATGAAGAATGTACTAAGTCGAAATATTTGATAAACAAAAAATTAAGGTATATAAGGAGTCGTCCAAAACATACTATTTTTTTGAGACGAGTCTTGTTCTGTCACCCAGGCTGGAGTGCAATGGCATGATCTTGGCTCACTGCAACCTCTGCCTCCTGGGTACAAGCGATTCTCTTGCCTCAGCCTCCCCAGTAGCTAGGATTACAGGTGCATGCCACCATATCCAGCTAATTTTTGTATTTTTAGTAGGGATGGAATTTTACCATGTTGGTCAGGCTGGTCTCAGGTTCATGACCCTAGGTGATTGGTCTGCCTTGGTCCCCCAAAGTGCTGAGATTACAGGAGTGAGCCACCGTGCTTGGCCCAAAATATACTTTTTAAAAGACATTTTTTATTTTATTTTTTTGAGATGGAGTCTCGCTGTTGCCCAGGCTAAAGTGCACTGGCGCAATCTTGGCTCACTGCAACCTCCGCCTCCTGGGTTCTCCTTGCCTTAGCCTCCTAAGTAGCTGGGATTACAGGTGCCTGTTATCACACCCGGCTAATTTTTATATTTTTAGTAGAGACGGGGATTCGCCATGTTGGTCAGGCTGGTCTCGAACTCCTGATCCAAGGTGATCCGTCTGCCTCAGCCTCCCAAAGTGCTGGGATTACAGCTGTGAGCCACTGTGCCTGGCCTTAAAATCTACATTTAAAAAAATCACTTTTAGGAAGAATATCAATGGTTGCCAAAAAGCCCAGTGGGTCGGGGACAAGAAGGGGCAGGAACATGTTGTTTCACTCTCCATTTCTTCTTTTTCTGATCCTTGAAAGCAATTTTGCCCTCTACTAAAAACAAGCCATCTCATTGTCTGCTACAATGAGTTCATAGTTTTCAGGTTTTTATGACCAGAAAATGTATTCCTAGCTTTACAAAGTTTCCACTGCTACTCTGACATTGCTTTGCTGCCAATGTCTACAGCAACACCATTGCCACCACGTGGTACTCATGAGTAGTTACATCACTGATCAAACCCTAGCCAAGGTCTTGCCTCAGTAAATCTGGAAGGAAAGCACACAGATGTGTGGCCCAAATCCTTCACAGGCTGTATTAGTCACTACTGTCACAACCATCACATCTAACCTCTGTATGGCCATTGCATAAATCAGAAAAAATAGTAGTGGGGTAATTATTAATACATAAGTTTTCTTTGGCTTTCCCAAAGGAATTACTTTTTATAACTTAGACAAATTTCCCAGCAGGCAAGTGACCAAATACATTAGGGAGAATAAAACTAATAGGTTACCAAGACTTCTTAATTCTAATTCTGAAGTGCTCTTTCAATGAGCTCTATTTCTTTCTCTCTCTTTTTTTTTTTCCTGTTGAGACAGTCTTGCAGGCTGGACTGCAGTGGCATGATCTCAGGTCACTGCAACCTCCGCCTTCCGGGTTCAAGTGATTCTCTTGCCTCAGGCTCCCGAGTAGCTGGGATTATAGGTACGCGACACCACGCTTGGCTAATTTTTGTATTTTTAGTAAAGACAGGGTTTCACCATGTTGCCCAGGCCGGTCTTGATCTCCTGACCTACTGATCCACCCACCTCAGCCTCCCAAAGTGCTAAGACTACAGGCGTAAACCACCGCACCTGGTCTTCTATTCTAATTCTACTATGCTGCTCTAACCCCTACTTTTAATACAGCTACATTACTATAGAAGTTCCATAAAAGCCCTGTTTATCATGTCTTTTCCTTCCATAAAGACCTTAGTGCTCCAGCCTGGCCATCACGGTGAAACCATGGCTGAGGCAGGAGAATCACTCGAATCTTGGAGGCAGAGGTTGCAGTGAGCCGAGATGGAGCCAGGGCACTCCAGCCTTGGCAACACAGCAAGATTCTTCCTCAAAAAAAAAAAAAAGACCTTACTGCTCAGATAAGTTATACTTTTTGAACACTATGTAACTGTTAGCCATTACTGCTGTTAGAATAAAGTCCAAATTTCTAAACATAGGCCCTTTACACCCTGGTGTCATCTCTCATTTCTCCCAACACGCCTCACACGAGTTGTTTCCCTGTAACACAGGACAACTTTATGTTTTCTGGGCATTCCATGACTCTGTACCTTTACGTTACTTGCTTCCACTTGGAAAAATTCTTCTCATCTTTCAAGGCCTAGCTCAAATGTCTCCTTCAGTAATCCCCACCAGGAGGAGTTGTGAAATATGAGAAGGGCAAGTGGGGAGAATGTGGCTAATTCTAATAATACTCCTGAAATGTGCAGCACAGCAGCTGGAACTGGTCTGGAGGGAAAAACAGCAGTGGGGTAATTATTAATAGATGAGTTTTCTTTGGCTTATCTGGTGGTGCATGCCTGCAGCCCCAGCTACTCAGGAGGCTGAGGCAGGAGAACTGCTTGAACCCAGGAGGAAGAGGTTGCAGTAGGCCGAGATTGCATATCTGGGGTTGCAGTAAACCCCTGTATATCTGACCCTTGTTGGTTCATATTCATTACACATAAATATATATATAACCTTCCCATAAACATAAGTGTATTTAATGAGTTAAAACTATTTCTGTTGTTTCTACTACTACATAATAAGCCTAATCCAAATACAAGCTGAGGTCTTAGCACAAATAGTGACTTTATCATGGTAGTTTTGTTGACATGGTGTGACTATTTTCAAATATACAGAAAACTTGAAGGAACTTTACAGTGAATGTTTGTATATCTACTACTTAGAATCTATAATTAACATTTCCTGTATTTACTTTATTCCCCACCCCGCCCCCCAAAAAAAGTCCCCACCAATAATCCATCTCCTATTGGGAACAGACAATCTCTTGCTACTTGATTTACATTGCTAATGCATTAGCATACCCAAATGGAACACATGACCTAGATGGAAGAAATCTTCCCTTAATCATTTTTGTCTCTCTAATGCCTAGCAGACAGTAAGCACTCAGCAAGAGTTTAATGAGAAAATTAATGAATAAGTATAGTTAATCAGTCTTCTGTAAAGACAAACAAAACCCCAGATACCAATGATACCAAATTAGGAATTCTCCCTGATCTATATACCTTTTCTTGGTTCATTAGAAACAGGGATAAAATTCCACTTCAATAATTTTTCCTGCCTGTGCTACTCTAGATGTAAGATAGCCTGAAATATGACTTCAGCTGTTTTGGGTAGAAGCTCAGTAAAAACACTTTGCAAAATGAATTCTTAACAAATAGACACATCTCTGGGA